TCTATCTATCTATCTATCTATCTATCTATCTATCTATCTATCATATTATTGGTGCAAATAAATACATATAAATTAATAAATTAATATTTACAAATATTTTTAATATTTTTTATTTTTCATATTTTACGACTTTTAAAAAAACAATAAAATGTCAATCAATTAAAAAAAAAAATTAAGTATTATTTTTTGAAAATACATACATTAAAATATATAAATGTACATATATCCAAGTATTCATCCATCCGTCATATAAGTTCAAGGACTTGTTGGAGAACATTCTGTCTTAAAGTAATAATTCACCCCAAATAAAAATGACTAAAATGTAAAACTATTTACTCACCCTCATTTCACTTCATTTGTTTTCATGGAAGACAAAAGGAGTTTTATTGCAGAATGTCCAGGCTGATTTTGGGGTGAACTGTTCAGATCAGATCCTGCAGGATCAGTGAGTCTCCAGCAGGTGGCAGCGCTGCCTGACTTTAGTTCAGCTGCTCATGGTACATCCGGAGGAGGATTTTTTAAAGCTCAGAATGAGACACAGAGGTCTGCAGTAAAGTGGCTCTTCTGACGGACGTGGAGCGGCGCTTCAATCCGTCCAGGTATGTGGGAGTTCTGGGACTGGAGGAGGAACAGGATTAAAGTTCAATTAAAACACTGATGATCTCAGATGACCCATTAATTCTGCAGCATACATCTGGGCTTTTGAGCTCAAGACCCCAAGACCCCTGAAGATAAGCAAATATAATGAAACACACTGTGAGTCTTTCTGCTGCAATCTCTGACGGGTCAGGAGGGCACCGCGCTGACACACACTCCTGACAAGGTCTCACACACACACAGACACACACACACACACGCGTTTCAAAAAGGCGGGGCATAGAGGAGAAACAATAATGTACAGTATGTGGAAAATAATGTGTTTTTTTACTTTAAACCGCATAAACACATTTCATTACACCAAATACACAAAATAATGTTCTTTTTAGCAGCATCATATGACCCCTTTAATGGTATAGATACTAGTAGCTAAAAAATAAGTACTAGTTGCATTAAAATAGATACTAGTACATTTTAAGGATTATTTTTTATCTATTCAAATAGGTACTAGTACTTATTGACAAGTACTTAATGGAATAGATAATAGCAGCTAAAAAGGTACTAGTAGAATTAAAATAGAAAGTAGCACGTTTTAAGGGTTAAATGTTAAAACGGCTTGCCACAGAACATCAGAGATTCTGTTGGCCAGTCTGGAGCGGAATGTGGGAATTACGGGTTACAGATAACAGCGATAAGAGCAGAGAAGATTTGCACATTATCAAAGTATTCATATGTGAACATTCCTCACCAGCATCAAACGGGCAAAAATGTGCTTATTAATTGCCTGGAATTT